TGTTGTTATGTTGGTTTTGTTTTTAAATAATCTTTTAATTTTTAAAACTCATGCATGGCCATTTTCACCATGGCTATCAGAACATGCATTGACATTTTCTAGCCATGGGTTGTTGAGGTATCTTCTTTATTACCATGGAAAGGAGTGCATCCCTGTAGTTTTAGTATCAGTGTACTTTAGGACTTAAAAGGAGCCCTAATAGTGTAGTGGTTATATGTCAGGCTGTGATCTGCATGGTCAGCAGTTCAAAACTACCAGCAGCTTCTCCAGAGAAAGATTGGGCTTTCTACTCCCGTAAACAGTTACAGTCTTAGAAACCCACAGGTGGGTCGCTATGAGTTAGTATTGACTCAGAGTGAATTTGGATTGGAAGGACTTAGAACAAAACACAGAGAAAACAATGACCATGGAAGAAGTACACACACACACAACTACTGGTTTTCTTTTGTCTTCATACAGCTAGCTATCCTAGATATTTGGGGTAAATGGGACCACACAGTGTTTGTTCTTTTATATCTGGCCTGTTTCACTTGGCAAAATGTTTTCAAAGTTAATCCACCTGGTAGTATGCCGCACAACTTCATTTCTCTTTATAATAAAGCAGAATAGTAGTCCACTGTGCATACTCCACCTTCTTTATCTGTTCATTTTTGAGGCCCCCCCCCCATATCTATGGTGGATAAAGCTGCAATGAAACTGGTGTTCAAGTGCCTGTTTCAGTCCACTGTAAAGTGTGACTGTATCTAGAAGTAGCATTTCTGGGTCGAATGGTTGGTTCTGTTTTGACAAATTTAGGGAAAGCCCAGCTTTTCTACCCAGGAGAAAGACACGGCTTTATACTCCCATAAAGAGTTACTGCCTCACCCCAAGCCCACCTGTAAGATAATTGGACAGTCCCTTGCAGAAGGGCCACACAGAGGGGTCGATACATTCAGGGTGTAGTTTAGCACTGATGAAACACGTAACTATCCTCTAGCTCTTTAATATTTCTTCCTCTTACTATTATGGTCTTAGTTTTACCTCATTAATCTTTTTAGACCTGCACGTATTCATTTGTATGGTTAAGATAGTTCGATATCCAAGATGGATAAACACTTCAGAAATAGTAGTGGGAGAAATGATTCCTTGAGGGTCCGGGAAGAGACGGGAGCAAAGGGGAGCAGATAGCAGTGATGACTGCATAACTCCACTCGAGGGGAAACAATAACAAAATTGTAGGTGAACGGATATGTTGGATGGTGTAAGATAAGGAAATATATGTATGTAACAGTTCAGGTTCCTGGGGAGCAGGGTGCGGGGGTGAGGGGATAATGGGGAGCTGGTATCAAAGAGTTCAAGAAGAAAGAATTTTTTGAAACTGGTGACAGCAATTGTACAATTATGTTTGATCTAATTATGGATTGTTATATCTGTAAGAGCTCTGAATAAAATAAAAAAAATTAAAAAAAGAGTTACTGTCTCAGAAACCCCTAGGGGGAGTTCTCCCCTGCCCTACAGGGTCACTATGAGTCAGCATTGACTTGATGGCCGTGAGCTTGGCTTTGGGAACTTTTCGACAGAGGTTGCGCCATCTTCCATTCCTCTAGCATGGTCAGAGTTCCGCTTTCTTCCCACCGTCACCAGCTGTCGTTTGCCGTTTCCTTGTGATAGTGCGCATTCTTACCCAGTCCCCTGAGTCACTTCTGACTCACAGTGACTTCCATGTGTGTCAGAGGAGAATTGCACTCCGTAGGGCTCTCAGTGGCTGTTTGTTTGTTTGTTTGTTTGTTTGTTTGTTTGTTTAAATAGATTGCCAGGCTCCTCTTCTGAGGCACTTTTGGGTGGACGTGGATTGCCAGCCTTTCGGTTAGCAACCAGGTGTGTGAACCATTTACACCGTAAATGTGGTGTGTGAAGAGAGCACCGTGGCTAAAATGCTGGGCTGCTAACCTCAAGGTCTCCGGTTCTAACCCACCAGCTGGTCCAGGAGAGACAAGGTGGTCGTCTGCTTGTGTTAAGATTTAACACCCTTGAAAACCCTGCGGGTCAGTTCTCCTCCTTCGCCCGGTATCATCGTTTCTCTGACTTGACAGAGATTTGGGGGTTTGGGCTTTTCTGTTAGTCCGGTTTGGTTTGGGTGGCTATGAAGTGACATTTCTTTGTGGTTTTGACTTGTGTTTCCCTAATGACCGCATCTGCTTTTGCTATCTGATATGCATGCAGGTGGGGTTTTAGCATGGATTTCTCACCTGTGGCTCCCGGACTCTGCTTTTTGCAGGTGGAAGACATGATGCTATCCCAGTTCCGCATGGTCGCCAGGCCTTGTACTTTGGCATGTCGTCATTTGCACACAAAACAGAAAGGCAAGCCACTTATGTTGAACCCAAGAACAAACAAGGTTAGTGACCTTGATACTAATAAACTTTTTCCCTTATCCCTTTGATATATTGGGGGCTGATAAGGTAAGTTTAATAGTAAGCAAGCATAATTCTGGACAGAAGTTTGCTTACAAGAAGCGGTAGCAGCATTTAACTGCCCTGTTTGCTTGGCGGGTAGTCAATAGATGTGCTGCTTTTCATGTCTTAATTGGACAAGCAAAGAATGTATGTAGTAAATGAGTTTTCACGAATTTGAATTGCCTTGACTCTACTCCAGGCTTCTTTGGGGCAGGGACCGTTTGAAAACTTCTTTTCTCTCTTTTACACTGTCATGGAGAGAGTAGACATTTAGTAAACCTGTTGTCTTTATTTGTGCCCTGATAGAAAGAAATTATTTAAAACCTACTCTGGAGACCTTGTCCCAGTAAGAAATTGATGAAGCCCATCAAGTTCTTACTGAATCCCAAGGCGGACAGTCTAAAATGCAGTATAGGAAGTAAAGTCTAGCACCCTGCCCTTCTGAAATATGGATAGGAGCCAGTTGGTTGCCTTCCTGAAGGTTTGTTCTAGAAGCCTCCAGAGGTATCCTTTCTCACCTGGGTGGTTTGGGCTTAAGAAAGAATGCAGGTGATTCTGAACTTGTGAGTCATGGACTGCTTGGGGACTTAGCAAGTGAAGAAAGTAGATTTGTGCTACCGACATTGTAGACTGAATCAGGAGTTTTCACATATTTATAAATATTCCTGTTAAGAGTACGTTGCTGCTGCTGCTGCTATGATTAATAAAACAGTAACTGAAGGCAATGGCTGAATCCTTATTCTTTCAAATGTCCCTCTTTAATTACTGTCAACTAAAGGTATACCTACCTGTTAATGGAGGAAATCGATGAAGAGGTGGACGGTGGGTGTAAAGTACACATAACATTTTAACCATTTGAAAGTCTTCCCGTCAGTGGGATGTGTACACCCACAATATTGTGTGGCCATCACCTCTGCGTAGTTCCAGAATTTGTGTTTCCTTAATGGAAACCCATTAAACTGGTCCCGCCATTTTCTCTACCCCTCCCCATTCCTGGACACTACTGCTGGATTCTACTCTGTGGATTTGCTTTGAAACTGAAATTAACTTTGCTTTGATTCTGAAATTAACTTTGATTCTAAAAATAACTTTGCTTTGATTCTGAAATTAACATGTAAACGACCCTAAAATTTCAAGGGCTGGGCACCATTTTGCTGGGTTTCAAGCAAGAGTTTGGGTGATCATTTTAGCTGGGACTGACTGCTCAGGAGACTGGAGTTTCACTTCACTGCGGGCCGCCTTGCTTGCACGTTGACACATTTCAAAGGCTGAATGAATGTAGAGTTGGAGTTCGCGCCGATTCTCCCTATGTTCATTTGCTTAACTTGAAAAAATATATATATTTTAAACTCAACTCTGAGTTTTTTTCTCTAGGAAGTATAGACATAACCTCTCTGGACCCTGTGTTAAACTGGCTTGTCTAGAAAAACAAATCCAGTGGCACTCGTCTATGTAATAGAAAGAGCTTTACATCCAGAAATAATTATATGTGAAGAAAGCCTTTCAGCCCAGCCCAACTCAAGTCCCTAAGTTCAAACTGGCTCATACTCCCTTGTCAGACTCAGGTAGCCACATGCAGTGATGCAGAAGGCAAGAAGATCACAGGCCCGTGGGTGCAGAGTCTTGCAGATCCAGGATCGGTGGAAGCAGGGCAGGGGACCGGCCAGTGTCAGGGTCAGTGGCATCGTTCCAGCAAGGAGGAAGGCAGAGGAGCAGAGAAAGCAGTTTTCAGTGCCTCACTTTCTTATACCAGAAGGTTTCAGACATCCAGGACAGTTTTTATTCTACACCTAGCCAGGTGTGTCTAGTTGACAAAAAAAGCATCCCACTACCACAGACCCAAATTTCCTCATGTAGCTTGCTTAGAGGAAAAGAAAGTAATAAACTAAATCTGCTCTGTGTACTCTAAAATGCTCTGCACATGTAATCTCTGCTTCCCATCGGGTGATGCTTTATTTTTTGATTAGCTATGACCTGATTGTTTTAAATATTTTTTCTCAAAAAATTTTATAAATTTGTATATGGTAATTTGCTAATCTCTGAAACGTGATTCTACCCACTTTGGAGGAAAAGGAATAGAGGGGGCTGGGAGGTGTCTTTCATGGCCTCACTGCCATGAAGTTGATTCTAACTCAGAGTGACCCTGTAGGACAGAGTTGAACTGACCTTGTGAGTTTCCAAGACTAACAATTTAA